TATAATTAGCCAAACCACTTTATCTCGATCTTTCTGTGTTTTTAATTTTCTTTTGACTTAATTGAGTGTATAAAAGAGGTAAGATGGAGCCGGGTAGTATTCATGCTCTCGTGTTAACGTGAGACTTCTGCAGGAATGAGACCCAGCTCTGATGATGTCCATCGAATGATGGACGAAAACTCAGCCCATTTTCACCCGAAACGAGGGAGGAAATCTCATGGACTGCGTCAAAATAAAAATTGTATAAAATCCAAATGGCTGCAGTACAACGAGATTTATCCGTACTCATCTGGTGAGATCGGCCAAAGAATATCTTCTTCATGCACTTTCATACCAAATGAAAGTCCCCCAACAATGTTATCTCAGGAGATCCATCAAAACCCAGTTTCTCTTGGTATCTACAATGTTGGGGGATTGTTGATGAAGCAAATTTTGTATTTGCTCTATCAATCGACTACATTATTTATTTCAAGTTTCAAGTAGGTTTTCGAGACTATCAGTAAATAAGATTTATGTGGTGTATTTAGGTTAAGGTCAACTCAGTTAACCAACAGTCCTTCATCTCCTCAAACGAAATAGGGTGAACACATCTCATTTATCCGATTTACTGCCAGTCTCAAAAACTTACTTAAAACGAAAAATACAGCTAACATGTCTGATAGTGTTAAGTTGAAATTGTGGAAAGATGATGATGATCGTCAAAGTACGGACGAAAATCGAGTCAGCTTTTCCCAGAAACGAGTGAGACTGTCTCGTGAACTACGTCAACTTGGACGTCATATTTGATCCAAATGGTAATTGTACAAATGAAATATCCATCGTCTTCTGAGGAGATTGATCCTCGAATCTCTGCATCAGATACACTTTCATAAGAAATGAAAGTCTGCATAACAATGATAACTCAGGAGACTCATTAAAATCCACTCTTTCTTCTTATCTAATTCTTAATTTTGCCTCATTTTGCTTGTCCTATTGAAGAGGATTACTAGTTTGCTATCACTCTTAGACCGAACGTGAAGGTGGTCATATTCTCCCCCATGCTCAACCGCTCGACCCCCAACAACGACCTGGCAACATCAGATTATTCAGTTGTCATGATTGAATTCTTCAAAGTCCAGTCACTTCCGGCCTGGCTTCGTCGAGCTCGCCAAGAACCGTGCACTTTTGGGCTCTTCAGAGGCTCGCCCTGCTTTCATGCGCCCGCCTCAGCTGCTCCGGCGCCCTAATGAGGCCCGACTTCGAGTCCCAAAGTCGGTCAACCCAAATCTGCGACAGACACGAGCTGATGTTAAGGGATTTGTGAAACTGGCCTTTAATGCCTTTCACCAATAACAGAAAATTGCAATTGTAGCCTCCGAGATTTTGTCATTTTATGGCGGTTCCGAATAAGTAGGATATAATGTTTCCTTGCCAGTACCTACCACACACATACACACACACAGAGATACACATATACACACACGTGGACACAGACATTAAGATACGTACAGAATAGGCTCTTAAAGGGACTTAATCAACTTACGGTGTGTCGTCAAGCGTGAAATTGTCGCTGTAGCCTCACCGGATGGGCATCGAGGGCAGGTGAGGAGAATGTGGTGATGCTGCCTATTCCGCTTCCGGCGTACATGTCGGCTTTATCTTGACACGCCGGAGAGTGGGACAAGGGGACAGAGGACACAAATGACGGATGAACAGGTCGGCCTGTCATGTTTCCCAGTCACCGGACGACAAGGCCAATTCATCCAGACAGCTTTTCCCATTATCTTCTGCTGGTCCGACTGGAGACAGGCACTGTCGTTGCCTAGGCGGGGTATCTCGAGGACATAATTGGTTTTAGGCGGCAATCTGTTGCGTCTGATGGGCACGGGGCAGAGGACCGACTGAAGATGGTCCTTAACGCCCCTACGAAGAGATATAAGTCAACTCAACTCTGCAATTATCCAGAACATCCAACTGGATCACGATACCATTCCAGTGGACCAGATCGGATCACCACCGTCCTATCAAGACGGGATCACATTTTGTTTGAGGTGCTAATTTCACAGACAGCCTCAAAGCTTATTTTGGTGACAACACCGACTTGCCTGTTATGCTTGCTAAAAGCCTAAATTAAAATATATACATATATATAAACATAAAGGGAACTAAATAAATAAATAAATAATTATATGCATTTATCTATTAATTTATTTATATTTTTATATGTATGCTTATATATAAATATACTTAAATATAAGCACATATACACAAATATAAATGAATAAATATATTCATGTATAAGAAATAGTGTTAATCTGGTTATTTGTATGAAGCATAAAAAGGACAATTTTCCCATCGTGATATAAGTAGGCACAACATTTACACTAAATTTCACATTAATTATATGAATGTATGAAAATTCCACGACCAGTACCCTTATTATCTCACACAAAATAGGATGAATAAGTATCATATGTATAAAAAAAAGATCGAGTTTGTCTCCTTGCTTGGGCGCGTTATGACAAGGAGTTTGGGATCAGTAACTTTGCACTTGAGGTGAATTTCACCACGACACTTCCTGTGATTAATTAGTTAAAAAAAAATTAATTTTGCCCGATTCCAGTGACCAAAAGTTTGCAATTTGATTCTTCACATTTCTGTCGCCTCAGATGCTGGTTTGGATCCCGCGGTGATCGCGTTTTACACGAAAGCCGCTAACCTTCGGAGGAGACGAAAGACTCGAACCACCTTCTCGAATGCCCAGATCGGCGAGTTGGAGGCGAACTTCGCACGGCAGAAATACCTCACTCCGATGGACAGGGACAGGATATCTCAGCTTCTCGGACTTTCAAACACACAAGTGAGGCGGAATTGGGCGTTGATGCTATTCTCCTCCGTTTGGATGAGCTCGAGGTTGTTTGGAAATGAGCTGATGGTTTGTTTGGCCAAAAGTATCAAAACGGTTGTCATAGCCGAGTCGGGCAGCAACTTTATATCATCAGCTACATTATTAAGTTGGATCTTTCATTTCGTTGCACAAGTTCATCACACCAAAAAATGATCAAGTTTTCGGCTTGTCTTCCTAATATGACGATATATTCGTGCTGATCTGCCGTCTGTCTTGCCCTGACTGTCGTTGCGGCAAGGAGCATGAAAGAATTTTTATTATGAGATTTATTTTGCCCACTTCATTCAAGATGATGAAGGACTGGTGGTTGAATTTTTTCCAAAACCCTATTATTTAGCCAAATTTCTCCATTCAAGTTCATATAGCCTTGCTTCCCAAATAGTATTCTCATCCCAGTTGAGATGAACTACAGTTTCGACCTCCTCTAAACTGGGTCCATCAGAATCCTCAGCGCCAATCTAACCCAGCCTCTGAAAGTGTAGCCTACAACCTCGACAAGTTAGCCGAAATCCATACACGAAAAAGGGTTAATACATCTCAGATATATGATCTACCGATATTCTCGAGCAACTGGTTAAGAAAGAAAAATAGCATTCTTAACAATCGGAATCGACAAGTATTTTTTTATTATTAGCCTTCTTACCAAAGTTTGTTTAAGTTGATATAAGGAGTGATAATAAATCTTTAATCACAATACTATGTGTATACCTCACGATGCCACGTTAATGATCTTAGCGTCACCTGTCAACAGCTTTAACCATTATGAAGGGAGGTCACCATCATTAACGGAATACCGCTAAAATATTGATACCATTAATGATAATGAAAATAGTAATGCCAAGACGAGCACCATCATTAATATGCGTACAAATACAAATATATATGACAGTACCATAAACAATAAAAATACTGTTATTAACTCTAAGAATGACGTCAGCACCACTAAGAATGCAAAATCAAAGACCAACGCTAATTTCTAAACTAATTCTCTTACAAATATTTATAACACTTTAAATAATAATACTAATATTACTAAAACATCCATACTAATAACATCTCTAGTACCACTACTAATATTAATATTAACATATATGCAAATAATAAGATAATTTTCGAAACTACTATCAATAATTAATTGCAATGCTATCATTATTGTCGTCATTATCATCATCCACATCACGCTAACCTAAACTTTACCTTTATCATTATCCTCGTTATTAGCGCCATTTACAGCA